GTGTTAATAAACTGTTATTGGTAAGGCTTCAACGTTAGGCTGTTCGTAGTTAAATTGGGGGGCCATTAAAAGTTATACTTGAATTTTTTTTATAGAGATGAGATCTTGCTCTGTTGCCCGGGCTAGGGTAAAGTGGTGTGATGATAGCACGCTGTATCCTTGAATTCCTGAGCTCAGGTAATTCTTCCATCTCAGCCTCCCAAGTAGCTGGTTTAAGCCACTATGCCAAGCTAAATTTTTCTTTTTTTTTTTTATTAAATCATAGGCGTGTACATTAATGCAATCATGGAGTACAATGTGCTGGTTTTACATACAATTTGAAATGCTTTCATCAAACTGGTTAACATAGCCTTTGCGGCATTTTCTTAGTTATTGTGCTGAGACATTTATATTTTACACCTAGTAAATTTCACATGTACCCTTGTAAGATGCACTGTAGGTGTGGTCCCACCAATTACCCTCCCTCCCCCCATCCTCCCTCCTCCCCTCCCCCTCCTCTTTCCCCTTCTTCTTGGGCTATAATTGGGTTATAGCTTTCATGAGAATGCTATATATTGGTTTCATAGTAAGACTGAGTCCATTGGATACTTTTTCTTCCAAGCTAACTTTTATAAAATTTTTTTAGACATTGTCTCACTATGTCTCCCAGGCTGGTCTTGAACTCCTGGCTGTCCTCCTACCTCAGCCTCTCAAGTAGCTGGGATTATAGGTATGAACCACTGAACAGCTATATTCCAAATTTTTTCATAAAGATGAGGTCTCACTGTTGTTAGCCAGGCTGATGTTGAACTTCTGGGTTCAAGTGATCCTCCTGTCTCAGACTCCCAGAGCGTTGTGATTACAGGGACAAATGACCAAACCTGGCTGTACTCAGGAATGAGGGGGGAGTGCTGTCAATGCCTCTAACTCCTGCCTTGTTCAAGGGTCAACTGTACAGTCATTTTGCCCTTTCTTGGCTGAGATGACTGAGACCTAGGGAGGTTAAGAATTCTGCCCAAGGCCACAGGGCTGGAAGGTATGGTGCTGGAGTTAGAGCTCAGATCTGCCTTCCTCAAAGGCAACCTTCCGATTACCCTGCCAATGCTCCTCAAACTGGATCTCAGACTGCTGGCATCAGACAGAATCCCAGTCCTACCCCAGTCTTATTCAATCAGAATTTCTGGGGACGGAACCCAGGAATCCAAATGTTAAGTTTTTTCCTGATGGTCCTACTGTAGGGAGAATTTGTGAACCTTTTTATTTGTTACCCTGCTATTCTGACTCAGTGAAACACGGCAGTTGGGTCCTTTCCAGGAAAGACCACTATTCCTAAGCGTAGGCAGTGGTGACATTTCCTCGGTCTGCCCTGTCTCGATGCATCATGGAATGCCACTTCACTTCCGTAGCCAGGCAAGAACAAATAAGCAAATTTATGAATCATGGTTCTGTTTATATTTTGGTTGCTGAGGCTAAATATTTATTGCTTTAAGTAAGAGGCTCTGCTTTAATTAGAGTCATAACTAACCACGAGTGCATTGAAATGCATTCTCATGGCTGTAAGACGTGCACTTCTCAACAGAAAGCTGGAGGCAAGAAACACTTTCAGTGTGCCAGCGCCGGATCAAAGCATTAAGTCTTATTTAAACTAACGAATAGCTTCTGAAATTGACTTCTCGTCACCTACTAGGAGTTTAATGCATGGATTGATCTATTGTTTTTACTGTTACAATGTCACATTTGTGGTACTATGGCTTGATGATGTAAAGGGGTGGGCAATATAAAGCCTGTAACTATAAAGAGCATGAGCTACATTCAGTTTTGAAATGCCTTCTGTCCTCTTCCCAATCCTGTCCTCCCACTCCTTCCCCAGAATGGGCAGAGCTCTTTGCATTAACTCACCAGGAGAGCTTCAGAGGATATTGATATGCAAGCCCCACCCCACGCTAATTAAATCAGAATCTCTCAGAGAGAGGCCTTGGCAAGTGGGTGGTTATAAAAAGCTCCCCCGGTGATTGTGATATGCATTCAGGGATGGGAAGCACTGCTCTAGGAGGTTTAGTGGGTGAGGACGCTGGGCTGTGTAGTTAGACAGAGATTCAAATCCTGGCTCTGTGAGCAAATCCATTTGCTAGCTATGTGTTGGGTAACCTATAAGCTGTGGTCTCCTCATCTGAAAAATGGGATGATAGGCCTGGCTAACTCCTGTAATCCTAGCACTCCAGGAGGCTGAGGCAGGAGGATCCTGTGAGCTCAGGAGTTCGAGACCAGCCTGAGCATGAACAAGACCCTATCTCTACTAAAAATAGAAAAATTAGCTGGGCATTGTGGTGGGGACCTGTAGTCCCAGCTACTCAGGAGGCTGAGGCAGGAGGATTGCTTGAACCCAGGAGTATGAGGTTGCCATGAGCTAGGCTGACACCATGACACTCTACCCAGAGTGACAGAGTGAGACTCTGTCTCAAAAAAAATAGGGATAGTCATGCCTTGCTTGAAAGGTTGTCAGACAGATTCAGTGAGATTATGTGGAGAAAGATGATACTCTACTTAGTATTATACTTCAGAGCACTTAACTTAGTACTTAGTAAGGGGCCATTAAGCAGAAGATATTCTTGTTACAGAGAACGCTAGTTGGATCTTTTAATGTTTTGTCTTCTCTTAGTAATGCCCGTGAGAAATTGGGATTTGTATCTTATTTTTATTTATTTAACGAACATACTAGGGAGAGAAATTGGGGTTTGGAGCAAGATAGTATTCATGTTACAGCTTAGATATATTTTTTATAATTGCTTGGCCATATTTTAGCTTCTTTTAAGATAAATTCCCTCGCCGTATGAAGCCTATAGGCCTGTGATCATTTGCATGCCTAGAATGTGTAATTGTGCCTTTCTGTTGTGTCTAAAGGCACCTACAAAGCCAGAACTTGTGCAGTGAGCACTGGCTGACCAGTCTTGACATAGAGATTGCCCCCTAACAGGCCACACCCAGGGGCTTCTCTCAGCCCGTCTTTTTCTCTCTCTTAATTCCTGAATCTTTGCAAGTGGATTGCCCACTTTCTTGACCACACATGTTTTATAACTGGCTGAATTCCTCCTAACCCTTCCAGCTTTCAACCCTTTCCTGAAATAAAACAAACACATCGAAATACTATTTATCTCTGAAAAATGTAATAGGAAAGTCAGTCACTTACAAAAGAGCAAAACAAAAGGTTGTTGTAAATAAGTAGCATCCGTAGTAGTGAAGACCAATTAATAAATGTATTAATTAGGGGCCAGTTTGCCATTCTGGAAAACATCCCAGAGGCAGAGACCACCCTACGCACCAGCCCTGATGCCCACTGCCCATGCCAGTGCTGACACATGGCCCGGCCTTCTGGTTGACCGGCAGAGCGAATGGCTTGTTTCTTGGGATGAATGCTTTGACCTTTCCTTAGCATCTGGCCTCAAAGGTTAAGCAAGTCCGTTTGCGTGTTATACAGACGAACAGATCCCATATTTTCACCCACCCACACCCCAGGCTTTCACGCACAAGCCCCTGGTGGGGGGTGGAAGTATCCACAAAGGCCCGGCACATGAGATCGTGGCTGTGTCCTCCCTGCCCTTTGTCCTTAAACTGACGCATCATAAGTCATGCATCCCAAAGCCACGTGGAAGTGTGTTCATGCTTTTTCTGTTCCATGTGCATGAATAATTGGAGCGGACTCTCTATGTATTTATGGGAAGCATGTATTTCAGAGACGCTGGGCTAGATTAAAGAGCTTGTCGCTCAGCCTGCAGAGACGCCAATTGGTTTTTCCCGCCCCACGCCCTGGAACATAAACAGTCCATAGGACGTGAGCTCTTTTGTGTTTTGTCTTCTGCTTCCACACTTAGGGGACTCCAAAGCTGGTTCTGAGAAAGTCCCAAGAATGCTGAGCATTTCCGGTGTGGCGTGCTGGGCCAGGAACATCAAAGGTCCCATTTGCTGCGGTCTGAGTACAGAGTGACAGAAGCCTTCGTCTTGTCCCCCGCACCTCTCCCCTCACCATTGTTGCTTTTATTGTTCGAGACAGCCAAACATAGGGAGGTTGCATGACCAGAGTATGTGTGATCCGCGTACAGCGTTTGCCTCGGGAAGGCTTTTTACACGCTAACTTTGTGGAATCCTTGGCCTCTGGCTCAACCAAGATGAGGGTGGGGCGTGCGTGGGAGTGGTGGGGATGGTCATGGTTAATTCAACGCAACATGTATTCAGGATGTTTCCATAAAACATGATCTCATCCCTTCCAGCCGGCTGGCCATCATTACGCTGGTGGTCACTTTTGACTTAGTGGTTACAAAAATAATTCCTTTAATTACCAAAGTGGAAATTCATAGATTGTACGTAGACAGTTCTTACCTCCCCTTCCCCCCTCCCCCAAAGGCAGGAGGTTGGAGCTGTTTCTGCCACTGTCTCCACAACATCAGAGCAACTCAATAATTCAAAGAAAAACAAAGCAAAGCAAAATAAAACAATAAAATCCATGCCACACTGGGCAGATCAAATAGCTGGGAAAGTTTCCTCCTTTCTCTCTTTTTAAGTAATTTATTATTTTTTTTAATCCTGAACGGACAGTCACATTATGGTCAAGAGGAAGACTAATTCATTTATTCAACAAAGACTGGTTAAGCACTTACGGTGTCTCAGATTAACAAGACTGATAAAGTTTCATGGGGTGAAAACACCTGATGAGCAGTTGATAAACAAACCAGATCACTTACAGCGAAGAGACCTTACAGTGAGGGTCTCACGAAGGAAATAAAACAGCGTGATTCAATAGTGATGAGGCAGTTGTTGACGCATCTAGTCCAGTAAAATAAAAACATGTATTGAAAGATATAAACTGGTGAGGAAAATGGCTGGCTATTAAAAAAAAGCCATTCTTTTGTTGGGATTACTGGGAACTCTTGAAGAGGGACCATTCTCCCAGAGACTAGCTCTTAGCTGAACAAGCTGCTGGAACTTAATCACTGTGGATGAACTGACTGCCTCCCTTCCTCCCACAGGGGGAAGCCCAGCCAAGCAGACCACCTGGGAAGGTGGGCACCGGGTCCCAGCACTGGCTTACTGGCCTGGCAGAGTCCCAGTCAATGTCACCAGCACTGCCTTGTTGAGGTACGAGACCTATACTACCCTGAGACGTTGGGGTCTGGAGCGAGTGGTGGTGGAAGCCAGGTGTTTCCTGAGGTTCTCGACCTCTGATTGTAGCAGTGTGGATTTGCCTGTAGGCGATTTCATGTACTAGTTAAAGTAATAGTGCCGAGGATTTAAAACATCCTCTGCAGGAAATGGCTAGAGGGGTTGGAGGTGGTTTCACATCCATCAGCTTTGAGTCCTGACTGTATCTACTGGAGAGGAATTAGAGGGGAAAGGAGGGCAGCGGCCACGAGGGCATCAACCTCCTCGGCTTTAATGATGCCATCCCTGGGGTTAAGGCAGGTGTCCCGGGGTGGCCGTGGGAAGCCAGCACGTCTCTGGCAACCAAAGAAAAGAGTTTGGATGTCCACTTGCTCTGGAGGAGAGGGAGAAGGGAGGTAACCTTACTAGGCCAGCAGGGAAGGAATGACTCCTTTGGGGAAGACATTTTTGCTACCCCTGGCAAAGAAGCTTCCACAAAAAGGCGAGTCTCTGTGTTCTTCCTTTCTTGGAGGGACCACTGTAAATGTGATAGCTCATCATTACTCTTACCTCCATAGTGGGGCAGCTCTAGGAGGCCATCTCCTTGGCAAAAACTTGGGCTGTGGTGTGTCAGTTTGAAAGCAAGGCTTTTGCAGCTATGGGAAACCATGCCTTATAAAGGGGACTTTTTTCTTTTTAAGAGAAATGGCATCTCACTATGTTTCCCAGGTTGGTCTGGAACTCTTAGCCTCAAGCATGGCTGCTGCCTCAGCCACCTGAGCGCCTAGCCTGTAATGGGCACGTCCTGTGAATTCAGACAGAGATTTCCTCTCTGGAGTCTTGCCCTGTATTCACTAACGAGGGCGACCTCCGAAGAAGCCACACTTGTTCATGTGCTCAGAGGTTGGGTCTGGTTAAAGATCAATTCTTAGTTCAAAAGCTTCTTTACCTTTAGCATAATGGGTTCTGGCATTAGGAGCACAGCCCAGCAGAGGGACGTGACCTTCATCCGTATCCTCCCCCTCCCCAGCCTCAGTAGGGAAGATGAGGAGACCCTCAAGCAGTGGGGAAACGAAAGGGTAAATAGCCCTGATGGCCGAAGTGTGTGTGGGGTGGGCATCCTCCCTGGCAGCCCGCAGCCCCCCAGGAACTCTGGGTCAGCTCTGTACAGTCAGGAGGGGGCGTGCTGTCAGCGGGAACCGGCAGGTGTGACAACAACCGCACAGCCTGGAATCTTTGATGTCAGGCTGCCTGGGAAGAGGGCCAGGCAGTCTGCTTTTTATAGGGCTGACTCGGTGTTGTCAAAGTGCTTATCGAGAGGGGCCAAGTGTTCACGGGTTGGGCTGCGCACGCACAGATAACTCAGCAATCTCTCAAGTTACAGCGCAGGACACCAAGTGGTCGCTTCTCATGGGAGACCAGTGTTTGCACCCACAGTCAATATTGCATCATCTTGCTGATCGTCTAGGGCCGCACAGGGGACAGCTGACTGAGGAGACAGTTTGGGGACCAAAGGAGGAGAGAGTTCTTGGTACAAGGTCGCGTTTGCCTGAGGGCCTCTGGAATTTTATCAGAATAATATCAGTATACCATACTGGCATCTCTTAGGATATTCTTTGCAGTTAAATTAGTCCAATTGCAGCTGGACAGCTTTGTCTGTATAGACTCACCCCCTTGCTGTTTCTGCCTGTGAAGTCCTGTGAAGCAGACTTGAGCGCAGCTTCCTTACTGCCCAGGGAGGCCACCGTGTCTGTTACCATTCCCACGACGGCCTCCAGCTCAGCTCTATGGAGAATGTGTTATGATCGATATTCAGGAAACTGAAGTTCATGTTCTTGGGCGCCCAGCCCACCACCACCACCTAGACTTCTTATCACCCATCCTAGAACTTTATTCCTCAGTGCCATAAAGATCTTTTTTCAGATCCAAAATAACTCCCTCAAGCCACTGAATGCTAAGGCCAAGATCCATTAAACCTATGTTCCAGTGGCCCTGTGGAATTACTGGCATCAGAGAGTAGTACTCACGTGAATATTGAAAAGTAAAATAGGGTGTGTGTGGGCGGGGGTGGCAGGGCCCACACTAATCTCATTGGTGGTGTTTTAGAGACAGCCGATGTTCATATTCATAATCTTTAATAAGATTAAAGAAAGGTCTTGTGTGTGGTCTGCCCCTAAACCCTGATGACACAATTACAGAACAAGGAAAATTCATTTATCCAACAGATATTTATTGTTGTGTCCAACTGTGGGTCCAGCATTGCCCCAGGGACGAGAGGAGTCGTAATAATGAGCATATCAGACAGAAAGCGCCTGCTGTTTAGGAGCTGACTTGTCTTGGGGAGGGCGGGGCTCTGGCAGCACAAGTGAGAAAGATAGGGTGTTTTAACCGAAAACTTGAATGTGGGGTTTTTCAGCCTTGGCATTGTCAGCATCTGGGGCAGGAGCATTCTCTGTTGTGGAGAACTGTCCTGTGCATCGTGGGGTATTTAGTAGCAGCTCTGGTCCCCACCTGCTAGTTGCTAGTGTCCCCTACCTGCTGGTTGTGATAACCAAAATGTCTCCATCCAGCACCAAATGTCTCCTGGGAGGGCGAACTTACACTGGCTGAGAACCACCGCGTTGTAATTTCTCTTAGCCAGATAGAAGAGGAAGAAGGGCTTGTGTGTCTGAACCGGGGGCCCCATCTGTGCTCAGAACAAGGACTGAGCTTTCAGAGATGAACTGGGGCATGTATGAGGCAACCAGAATGGTAAAAAGGACCCGAAACAATGTCATTTGGAAAACAGCTGAAGTTACTGTTTACCCAGGAGAACAGATAATCCCCTGGACTACCTCGTGGTTCTTTGCAGATATTGCAAGACAGTCGGGTATGTGGAAGGGGGATTCGGCTGGTTCTGGCCTGTCTGGAGGTGTAGAGCGGGCCTTGGAAATATCCGCTACCATCATGTCAGTGTCACCGCAGGGCAGAGCCTAATCACAGGTCCCCTTTCCAGGTTCCTCCTCTTGCCTGGGAGACAGGGAGGTAGTCTGAGTCCCAGCCCCATTCCTGGCAGCCCTCTCCCTTGTGTGGGGCAGTGTGGTTTGCTGAGAGGCATCCCTGACGCTGTGGGACCCCTGCTCTCCCTGAAATCACTGCTGTTGGGGCATGTTGGCCTCCACGGGTACCTGTGGGTGGAGAAGGGCTGCCAGAGAAGCGGCCCCTGGGCGTGGCTGAGACCGGGAAGGATTGGGTACCTAGTGTTGCTTGGGGGTCATGACAAGGAATAACAATGCAGGAAACTAATGCAGAGAAAAACTTACAACTTGATGTTTAAAAAGAACTGCTCCCATGTCCTAGGGACAATTCCTATTCTCCCGCTGGAGGAAGTTCTGCTTTCCTTGCCTTTAGTTGGAAGGGAGGGGACACAAACACTGCCCCTCTGTCCAGGTCCAAGCACCTGCACTGCATTGCTGAGCAGTTCCTCCCTCTTCTCACTTCCATCCTCAGACCGGATCCACTGTTTCCCCAGATAGAGTGTCCTCAGCTGCTAGGAGATCCCCTTCTTTTCCATCCCCTGTCCCCAAGATGCACACACCCCAGGAGCACCCAGCATGGGACTGTTAACGCCCATCCGCACGCTCCTGAAGCCCGAGTTCTTCCTCTGTGGTCCCTGTGTTTCCTCCCCGGCCTGCACACCTTAGGCCCAGCTGGCAAGGCCTTTCTGCACCCTCGTCCTGTTACTTGATCTCCATTCCCATCCTTCCTTCCCAATGCCTTGAATGCAAACACAAATATGCACACTAACTGCAGTTAGAGCTGCCTGAAGAAAAAAGAAAATATTTTCATACGGGCAAAGAAACCTGTAAAGACGTCACCTTGCCCACATGGAGGACAGCGTTTTGTGTCCTACTGCAGAGTGATCTCAGCTCTCTCCCTGTGTGAGGTGAGAGGAGGCTCTTGACTGCCCCTCCTCTAACCACAAAGCTGACTGAAGTGGGGTTTCCTCCCTTCATAAGACAGATTCTCTTCTCCACAGGGCACAGTGCCAGGGCCCATGAGACTTAGGAAAATTTTAGTTTTCTTAAAATCAAAAGAAACAAAGGACTTTTGGAGGGATAAAATGGCTTAATATGAGGTCTGATGATGAAAAAGAGCTACCGTCCCTCATTGCTGACTATCACCACAGTCACCCTTAAAGTACTCCCCTTGGGAAGCTATGCATCCATGCCAGGGACTGGCCCACTGTTCAAAGGAACTTGTTTTCTGGAATAATCATCAGAGCTATTATCATACATGGTCTTACAATTAAGTTTGTGAGTTTGCCATTGTGTGCTTACATTGGCAGCACTGTACAGACAAATCAGGAAGGTTCATAACCTTGGTATATCAGTGTCTCACGGCTGTGTTTGTGTTGACCTACAGCACTGTCTTGCTGAGTGGCGTTCATTATTGTGTGTTTTTGCGTGCTATACAACAACAGCTCCCATGGCCATTCCAGGAAAACAGTTCCAAAATTGCTTTGAAGGGTAGACTAGGTGCTGGCATCAGTGTAGTACAGCTCTCCAAGGGAACTACTTCAAAGATGACCATAGTGATATTCAGCAATGAGGTATGTAGCACTTTTTCTAGAATGACAAACTTAATTGTCAGACCTCATTTGTATTCTTTTTTTTTTTTTGAGACAGTCTCAAACTCTCACCCTTGGTAAAGTGCTGTGGTGTCATAGCTCACAGCAACCTCCAACTCTTGGGCTTAAGTGATTATCTTGCCTCAGCCTTCCAAGTAGCTGGGACTATAGGCACCAGCCACAACGGCTATTTTTTGTTGTTGTTGTTGTTGCAGTTGTCATTGTTGTTTAGCAGGCCTGGGCCGGGTTCAAACCTGCCAGCCTTGGTATATGTGGCCAGTGCCCTAACCACTGAGCTATGGGCACTGCCTTTATTTGTATTCTTATGTATAGAATATATATATATATATGTATGTATGTATGTATGTATATATATGCATACTATACAAATTCATCTTGACTTTGCTGCAGTCATAAAATAGAATTTTTAATATATTTGCTTTTTACTGGAGGACGAGACCCATGAGGCAAAAGTGCCCAGGCCTCATGAAAACTGGAATGCCGCTCTGCCCACAGCCAAGCACTGATATGAATGGGGAGACCTGAAAGTGCAGTTTTTGTTTTGTCTCTTTCTCCGTAGTTTTCAAAGACCCTCAGGGCCAACATCTTAGGTGGGATTTGAGGGTTGGAGTAGCTGGGGTCCCCTTCATTGCCTTCCTCCACGGTCACATCTAGACTGGGGCCCAGCCCTGAGATGGCCTCAAGCTGTGTGGCCAGGGGACATCTCCCCCTTCCAGGGTGAACCTCAGTGGTTCGGCTTCCTCCATTACTCAAGGGAGCACTTTTTGCAGCTCGAGCTTGCCAGCGCTGTGTGTACCACGCCGCCTTCAGCAGCCTGAGTCACTGGATGCGCCGATGTTTTTCTCATGGGCAACTGGTTTTCTCTATGCCCCGGGTGCACGGGGAGCCTCTGAGGCTGCTGCCCAGCTCTGAGATGCTAGGATTCCGTGAACATTTGACTCAGTGCTCTGTAATTAGGATGCTAAACCTCAGTATGGGGGTAAAATACGACGGAGAAAAGAAAGTGCACAATGCTTTCCAGACTCCTAACGAGACCTTGTTTCTCTTTCTCACTGATTTGACCCATCTGTGACGCTCATCTCTCATAGGGGCGCAATTTAGAGAAAACTCGAACAAACAGCCCCAAACCACCGCGGCCTCTTCAGACTGCTTTGTGGTCTTCTTTGCTTTCCGGTTTGTGGCAGGAACCTTGGACTCCGGACAGGTTTCTGGACTGTTCTGTGCTTTGGGAGTGCTGACTCTGCGTTCCTTCACTTTGCATCTGTGTGGGATGCCAGGTCCCTGGGGCACGTATCTTAAGAGATAAGCGGCGGGTTACAAAAGCTGAAGGCAAACACAAACACTCTGTGCTGTAGTCAGTGGACAGACTCTGAGTGGGGTCGTAGGCAGAGCTGCAGGGCAAGTCCCTTCTGTAGCTCCCCTAGAGGGCAGAGACCCCCCCCAGACCTTAGGGTTGGGAGATAGGGGAGGGGTGTGTGAGCCTGAGGTCTGCTGCTCACCCAGCCTCAGGGGTGCAGGGGCTCTGTCTTGGCTCAGCCCTGCTGGCTCCAGCAATCCCCATGGACTCTGAGTTGGTCTGGCCCTCAGATAAACAGCTCTGTGGAAAGGGCAGTGTCTTAATCTGTTTGTGTTGCTATAAAGGAATACTTGAGCCTGGGTATGTTCATAAGAAAAGAGGTTTACTTGAGTCATAGTTCTGCAGGCTATACACGAAGCATGGCACCAGCAGCTGCTCCTGGCTGGGGACTCCAGATGCTTTTACTCATGGCAAAGAGCAAACAAGAGCATGGGGAGAGAGGGGGAGAGAGGGAGAGAAGGAGAGGAGGGAGGTGGAGGTGCCAGGCAAGTTTAGCAATCAGCTGTCCTGGGAACCCAGCAAGAACCTTATTACCATAGGGAGGGACCAAGCCATTCATGAGGGACTCATCCTCTGACCCAAACACCTCTTTTCTGGCCTCACTTCTGAAGCTGGGGATCGAATTTCAGTGTAAGATCTGGAGGGTCACAATATCCAAATTTTATGAGGCAGCCACTCTGTTCTTGCTGAAGTGTTTTCTCCAGGTGAGCACCGCAGGCTGGAGAGAGCTACAGTGTCAGGTTGAGTGAGATCGGACCACATCACTTAAAAAAAAAAAAATCACATGGATACAATCCCTCAAAATGTTAACAGTGGCTGCCTTAGGGTGATGGACTATGTGCGTATTATATATATATTTCTGAATGTTCTGATTTTTTTCTGCCACAAACATTCACCATTTTGTAATGAGCAAAAAGAGCTAAAATAAAATGGGTGATATGTTTCCAGAGCATGACATTCTAAACAAAGTCTGCGCTTTTGTAATACGGAGACCCAGGTGACGGCCAATGAGGTGAACATTCCCTTGCAGACACCTGTCACCCATGGTTCCCTGTTGGTGACCCTAAGAACCCCTTAGTTCCTGGATGGGCTCGTCTGGGTGCCCCTGTGAATAATTACAACACAGACACATAGTGTGTGCTGTCTGCTGTGGAGCTGGCCTCTCTGTGTGCTTCCTCTGCACAGCCGCCCTCTGAAGCAGGCCTTATCCACGGTTCTGCCCTCCACAGTTTCAATCACTTGCCAACTGAGGTCTGAACCTATTAAATGGAAAATTCCAGAAATGAACAATTCGTATATTTTACATTGCCCTCCGCTCTGAGTAGAGTGATGATGACATTTCACCCCATCTTGTCCAGCACGAATCGTCCCTTTGCCCGGCTGATCCATGCTGTACCCACCACCTGCTCCGTGGCCAGTTAGAGGCCTTCTAGGTTATCAGATTGACAGCTGAGGATCACAGTGCTTGTGGTTAAGTGACCCTTATTTTTACTTAAGAATGGCCTCCACGTGCAAGAGTAGGGATGCTGGCCATGCAGGTACGTCAGAGACAAGCCTTTCAAGTGCTTCCTTTAAGTGAAAAGGTGAAAGTCCTTGACTTCAAAAGGAAGGAAAAGGTTGTATGCTGAGGTTGCTGAGATCCATGGCGAGAACAGATCTTCTATCTGTGAGGTGGTGAAAAAGGAATAAAGTTTGTGCTTGTTTCCTGTTGCACCTCAAACTGCAAAGTTACGGCCACAGCGTGTGATAATTAAAATGGAAAAGGGGTTTCTGGGTGGAAGACAGAACAGAAACGTGTTCTGATCGAGGCAGTTGCGTTCGGTACTATCCATGGCACCTGGGGGTCTTGGAATGCATCTCCCTGGGACAAGGAGGGCACTACTATATTATCATACCCATTTTAGAGACTAAGATAACTGAGGGAATTGAGAAGTTACGTGGCCGAGCGGGGATTTGAGCTCAGGCAATACCATCCCATTCTGCCTCTTGTAAGAGCAGAAATTGAGATGGAACCAGAAGGAAAGAAAGGCGGGTAGAGAGGGTGGGCCGTAGAGGAGGCTGTCGGCGCTTGCTTGGGGCTAGTTCAGGTGGGCATTGAAACAGGAGGGCCAGGGAGAGAGTCGGAAGGGCTGGGGCCACCCTGGTCTTGTTCTTTCTGCAGCGTCCTGGACATCTTCCCCACGGTGGTAGCCCTGGCACAGGCCAGCTTGCCCCATGACCGGCACTTTGATGGTGTGGACGTCTCCGAGGTGCTCTTTGGCCAGTCACAGGCTGGGCACAGGGTAAGTGGAGGAGGTGTGTGGCCACTCCTGGGCTGCGGCCTCTCACCTTTGCACCAATAGAACCATCCTTAGATGTGTGCAAGTGGCCAGTTCAGTCCCCTATAAGAAACCTCTGAGAGGTGAGTCCTTTGGGATGAACCTCCCTTTCCACCCCTCCCCTCCTGTAATCAATAGAGATTTGTATTGAACAGTTTGGCTTGGGATGGGTGTGCCCAGGTGCTTATTCCCTATAATGGACAATTTTTTGCCCCAGGTGTGTTTCATTTGACAATGTTGGCACCCAGCGTGTTTTTGTTGGGTGAGATGGCTGAGGAGTGTTCCTGACTTGTGTGCTGTGAGGCTCCCCTTCTAGAATGGAAGCTTCCTGCAGGGAGAGCTCTCAGCTGTCAGCTTCACCGCTGAATTCTCAGTGCACCCGGCAGCCCCAGCCAGCATTTGGTCCATGCACACTGGATGAAGAGATGAATGCATGGATGAAAGACCTCTCAGACAGCAGGCCAGCCACATCTTCACACCCAGCATTCCCCAGGCTCCGGGGGGCTCAGCACATGCTCTGCAGCCTGCTTTTGACAGGCAGCCCCCCACACTGCTTTTGGGCTTCCTCTTCTCAGTTTCACCCCTTCAGTGTCCCCTCTTTGCACTCAGCAGCAATGACAGCCAGGAAATGTCCAGCCTGATGGCCTTTCCCTGTCATTTCCATGTGTTTTCCTTTCACCAAAAGGAAGAGGAAGCCGGAGGAGACCAGGAGGCTGGAAGAGTGTGGGGTCAGTCCCCTTTGCAAGGCCCTGCGAGCACACAGCTCCTCCGTGAGGGACCCACACTTCAAAGGGTCTATTTATGTCTTTACCAAGGGTCACATGGAAGTGACTCATATGTTCAGTGTACTGTGGTTGGTGATTATCGAAGCCGCCCTTCTCACCCGGCCTCCCCCAGGAAACCAGAACATGGGTCCTCAAGGGGCCATCGGTGTGCTTCTGTGCACATGAATACAGTGTTTGTGGGCTGTTGATGATGTCTGAAAGGTCCTCTCTGGAAGTCCTGCCTTTCCCTGGAACATCTGCACCTGAGAGCTGCAGACCCCCAACCCCCCAGTCTACCCCTTCTACCCAGCAGCAAGCAGGAAGGTGGTTTCCGCCTTTAGGCTGGAAGTTAGCAGCGTGTGACTCTGGGGGGTTGCTGAAGACGTCAGTAGAGAGGTGCTGCCGAGTGTTTATTACCAAGGCTACTAATAGAATAATTGGGGTCACTAGGAAGTGCTTCAAGGTCTGCGGTCTCCTTGACATTGCCGGTCCTGCCTGTGGAAGCCAGCTCCTTCGCGTACTGACTTCCGTTCCCAGGCAGGAGTGCTCTCGAGCTTTCTCTAGTCACAGCCTTGCACAGACTCACTCACTAGGCCTGTCCTAACTGGTGCCCAACAGGGGCAGCCCCCAGAGCCAGGTCGGAGAACCAGCTCACAACATGGTTGCAGAGAAGTGTGATAACACAGTTGGAGTCAGGCCAGTTTGTTCCCTAACCACATCCAGCGGCCACACTTACTGCCGGCAGGAAGCTGCTGATGGTATCTTCAGGGGTGAGAGCACACAGGCTGTCGCCTTGGGCCACACCCGGCCTCCCACAGCACTAGATCCCTGCAGTGCTGGTGAAGATCCTTGAGAGAAGATTCTCTGGAGTTTGAGGACAATATGGGTAGTGGTTAGCCCTGAGTTTAGGTTGGTCAGTCCCTTCTATCAGAGCACAGTAATAGGACTAAAGAGACAAGAGCAAATTGCCAGCTCAGCGCCTGTGGCTCAAGTGGCTAAGGTGCCAGCTGCATACACCTGAGCTGGTGGGTTCGAATCCAGCCCGGGCCTGCCATACAACAATGATGTTTGCAACGGAAAAATAGCTGGGCATTGTGGCAGGCACCTGTAGTCCCAGCTACCTGGGAGGCAGAGGCAAGAGAATCACTTGAGGAGTTGGAGGTTGCTGTGAGCTGTGATGCCACAGCACTCTACCCAGGGTGACAGCTTGAGGCTCTGTCTCAAAAAAAAAAAAGAGCAAATTGTCTCAAGTTTTGAACAGCTATTGGAGGTGTCGGCAGGTAAGAATATGAATGTATACATGTGTCTGCACACACATGCATGTTTACATATGTACATACACTCATGCGTCTGAACGCACATTCATGACCACACATACGTCCATATGCATGCCCACGTGCACACACACACACGTCTTCACTGACATACATGTATATATCTGCATACATGTGTAAATGTCTGGACACGTATGTATATATACATGTGCAGATGTCTATGACATACATACTTACGTTTATTTAAATAAACAGATATGTCCCAGACTTATAAGGATTCCAATATGGGTTGGTTTAGAAGACCATTCTAGCTTCTAGAAGCTCAAAGTAACTCCTAGTCAGCTCAGAATAATATGCAAATGCTTCTCAGCAATTGGGTTTTCCCCTATTTTGTAAATCAGTTGAGAAGTGTAACGCAAATAATGGGCTACTGGCTCCACTCCGGACCGCGAGGACGTTATGTCTGAGGTCGAGACCGATAGCAGCTGACCCCGTGCTGCAGATTCTTTCCCGCTCATCCTCCTGCCTGTGATCTTGGTGGGTTTCTGTGGAGGGAGTGGAGTCCACAGGAGGGAGCTGAGAGCTGGGAAGTGCGTGTTGTACAGGCTCAAACCACATGTCCCAACTTTGGCTTTCCTGACTCCCAGATGGAAGCTGAAGGTTGCAGTGTCACCCCTGGTCAAGTCGTGTCTCCGTCCCGGGTTGTCATGACCAGGTCCCCAAAATGTCAAGAAAGAAAAGCTTCCCCTAACAGCTGTGCGTCTGTCCAGCCCAGCCAGCGTGGGGCTGCTATGGTTCCTCAAATTCCTGGCACCCCCCTGGAGGCCACACACCAGGGAAGCAGAGGCTGGGCTTTCGTCACTTCTCTTCTCTTAGGGAGGCCCCTAGTGGTGAGAGCTGTCACCCAGAGCTGCTGGCAGAGGACTGATGGTCTCATCCAGACTGGAAGCTGTGCACCCCCACCTGATGGGACCAAGGAGCCCATCTGGGGATGCTAAGAAGCGCCAGGCTTCGCAAACTAACATAAGGGGACACTCGCGTGCTTAAGAAACAAAACAATAAAATAAAGAAAATAAACACTTGTAAGAAAGGCGACCAGGAAGGCACAAGAAGTTTGCAGAAGAGAAAGTCATCTTTGAAATTTGGACCAGGCATCTGGAGGGCTGCATTCATATGTCAATTTGCCAACCTACTTCCCATGTTGATATAAATAAGAAACCATAACCAGTGCGCTCAAAGGGAAAAAATGCATATATGCGTTCCCCCCAGATCATCCATGTTTCTGAGAAAGAGCCGTCACACGGTTTTGCGTCCTCTTGGAGTTTGGCAGTTGCCTCTGGTAATGCCAAAGAAATAGTCTGGAGAGAGCAGCCCACCCTTATGGGATTTCTGCGGCCAAGACTCCAGTGAGATCAAGGGTCTGAAGCGGCAAAGCTTGGCCGCCCGTCTTTGTGATGTCTGAGTGATCAGTTGACAATAGGGTTTCCAAGTCTCCCACTTCCTGCCCCCTCCAGGAGGAAGCGAACCCGGTCTCCTGCGGTGAGAGGCTTGGCTTTCTGCTGGGATGGAAGAAGTGAGGGGTTTTAGTTACGACTTCTTTTCCTGTTTGGAAGGAGCCTGCTGTCATCACGAGCGCCGAGGGTATTTGCAGGGATTGTCATGAGAGCCCGGAAGCAGCAGGTGTGGGGGGAGCCCCACCTTGGCGGCATCCTCTCAGAACTGTGAAATTTGGGGGGGACAGCTGTTTACTGCTCTAACAGATGTTTCTCATTTTTTAAAAGCCCCATGGAAACTCTGAATCACATAAGCACCTTTCCAGCCATATATACGCTCGTGATTCATACCAGGGCCATCTCATCCTTTTAGCCCAAACCCACGAACCTATAAAGGACACTGGCCTTTTATTTTCTATCCAGTCCTTCCCTTGGGAATCCTGAATTAGGTATTTCCATTCTTTAGGGTGATGTTTTTTATCTGTGGCTCAGGGAGGAAGGATTTCCTCAGTACAGTAGAGCTGAGTCATAGGAGTGGGTGTCTGTGTTCAGAGGCTGGGCTGTGCCCCATTCTGGGGAAATCAAGGGTGCCTTCTTATACTAGCCCTGCTCATGGGGAGTCGGAAAACGGACTTGATACTGAAGAAGCTGTTTTTCAAAAAGATCTGATGGTCACCTGGATCAGAATCTCTGGGAATATCTGTAGAACATGCAAAGTCCCCAGCCCCATCCCGCCCTGAGGGGTGGCATGCAGGCAGGGCAGCCTCGTAGGCAGGTGACCTATGCTGCCACTCAGGGTCCTACACTTGGAAGGCTGCTTTGCTTGGTTTAACGCTCTGCCGTGGTCTTCACGAAAGGTTTACTTTGTCAACAAGGGATTCCCTCATTCTCATTTTGTACGGCACTCTGCAAATTACGTAGCTAGAAATCTGACCTTCTCCTGGGCAAGACCTTTCGCCTACTGGTCTGGAGTTGTAACTCATTCTGATTAATTAACTAGCAAAATAACTCCTTCACAGAGCCTCTGGGTGGTGACTGGTGTGGACTAGAGGATCCTGTCTGTCAGTGTGTGTTTGGGGCAGAGGAGGGAGCATAAACCCTGCCAGAGAAAGCAGTGCTTTTCAGGGGCATCTCACATGGCTTTCTTGCTAGTAAGCCCTACCACCTTTCCTCAGGTGCTGTTCCACCCCAACAGCGGGGCAGCGGGAGAGTTTGGAGCCCTGCAGACTGTCCGCCTCGAGCATTACAAGGCCTTCTACGTGACTGGTGAGCGAGAGCCCGCTGAGCCCTGCCTCCTGCATCCACATTTGGTGGCGGCCCCCTGGGCTCTCACTCAGGCCTCGGGGAGCAAGTGCGGGAAAGGGAGGCTCTCAACACCTCTTGATGGTGCCATCCCCAAACCCAGGCCTGTGAGAGGGCCCAGAAGAGGCCCTCTGGACCTGCCCATACTCAAATAAAGTCCTTCTACTACTTTTCAGCTAAATTTACAGCAAGCTCAGGCTCTCTGCACATTTATTCAGTTCCTTTTCATGGGGATATTTCATTGCATCCGTTATGCTTTAAATGCCAGGTTGCCTGCACTTTAAATGGAAGCCTAGAGATATTTTAAATTCAAAGTATAATTTACTTGACAATGGACTGTCTCAAGAACTAGACTTTAAAAATCTATTCAGTAGACTGACAGATGTCCGCCTGCTTCGTGGTTCACTCTGTGGCTGTCTTAAATGTATATTTGAGAAATGTCACACTGGATCAGGATGGTCCTCAAAGTCTTCCAATGGATTCTTGCTGCCAGCTGAATTTGGAGTCTCACTCCCTGTATCCTTCTGTCTTCCCAGCCTAATTCTCCAAGAGCAAGTCTTCTCTTCCTTGGCCTCCCATATTAAAATCCTTCTCAGCTTTCAGGGCCCCCAGTCAAATCCCACCTTGATGAATACAACTCCCTCTTCCCAGCTTGGTAGGATTTAGAGAACTCTATCCTACCTGCCTGTGACAGGCAGGTGTCTATCACACTCTGCCATTTATGTTCATCACTCTGTCCACGTTCTCTTTTCTCTACCAGTTTTAAGGTCTCTAAACTCAGAACTCTTAAGCTCTGCAGTCTTCATTGTGTCCAAGTACTTGGCACACTTAGTAGGGACCTAAGTTTTTTTAATGAATGAAAAATAAAAAATAGAAAAGAAAAAGCTGTGACCTAATGCAGATTCCAGTCTGATTCCGTTATTTAGCGTGGGAGCTTTTCAAAGAACTATATAATAAAAAACAAAAATTATTTTCCCTGAGCATAAATAAGTGATCCCAAGGAAAACGTGGCATTAAAAACCAAACACGTTCTTTGAGTTCATGACTCAGGGGATATTAAAAAAATGTTGTAAGAATCTTTGATTCTCTGAAACCTAAAACACAAAACAGTCAGATATTTGTTATGCTTTTAGAGTCCTCATATTACATTATCTGAAAGGTATGGGACCTCCAGGCTGAGTTAATTTCTGAAGTAGTGACCCTGCCAGAAAGGCCTTGGCACCACAATATTGGAATCGTAAGTGTTACTATGAAGTCATAGGGCTGTTTAGAATGATCATGATCAGATAGGAATTCTAATACCCACGGGATGTCTGTTCTGAGGAGTCACCGAAGTCCTAGTAGACTCAGGGTGGGAACACTGAACTCTCAAGTCATCAGAGGAAAATTGTGAACAGGATGAAACACAGATAGGTTCTGCGTCCTCCCTCATCCCCCGCCCCTGCACTTTTAGAATTTGCATCCTAATTATTGACAACTGGTTTTGGATAAGCTTGATACATTGACACCTACTACTTAATATATTAGATTAGAGAAAGATGTGTTCTTCTGTGATGAGGTTGTGATGTTATGATCAAGTGAGGGGTGGCATTAAAAGATAACCAGTCTGTTTTGATGCGTGGCTAGAATTAAAGCACCTTATTGTTTTTCCTTCTTTTATTTATTTTATTTTTCTTTATTTTTACATCAACATGTGATTATACTTTTTGCCTTCATGGAATTAAAAAGGCTTAAAATTTAACAACAATAACAATGTTTACGATAAGGACTGGAAACAAAAACCTCGGAAATAATGAATGAAGAAATACATTCAGAAAAGAAATCAGACGATTGCTGCAAGGAAGTATTAAGCACTAATAATAATAGTAATGCAAAGAAAGTGACATTCACATTGTCAAATAAGCGTATGTCTATTATAGAATGCTTTGACTCAGGTTCAGTATGGAATCATCCATTAACTTCTTCTTATTTTTTATTTTATTAAGCACCTTATTGTTTTTCCTCCTTTTATTTTTTAAAGTCATTAAGTTAAACTTTACACACAGTGCATAGGTCTAAAATGTGCAATTAGGGTGAGTTTTTATAAATATGTACACCTGCATACGTACCTCTTAATGCTGTGAAGTTCATTGATGGATTTTTTTCTTAGTGATGGAGTTTTCAAGTGTTAAGCCAACTTTGCATTCCTGCATAAGCCCCACTTAGTCCTGATGTATTATTCTTTCTATATCTTGCTGGATTTGATTTCCTAAGGTTTTGTCTATACTTTTCCTTTCTTGTAATGTCTATGTCAGAGTCTGGTATCAGAGTTTTGCAGATATCAAAAAGTGAGTTTGGAAGTGTTCCCTTCTCCTCTGTCATCTGAACAGATTGTGTAAGCTTGGTATCATTTCTTTTATATTTGATTGAATTCACTTGTGAAACTATTCGCCAAATCCAATTTTGCCCTGTGTTTTCTTCTAAGAGTTTTATTGTTTTAGATCTTACATTTAGGTCTTTGATCCATTTTGAGTTAATTTTTGTATGTGGAGGTAGGTAAAGGTTTCACTTCATTCTTTTCCATGTGGAAATCCCATTTTTCCCAGCACCCTTTGTGGAAAAGACTGTCCTTTCCCCATTCAATGGATCATCTTGGTGCCCGCAGTAAAAAAACCATTTGCTCATGTCCATGAGGGATTACTTCTAGGCTTTCTTTTCTATTCTATTAGTTTATATGTCTGTCTTTGCACCAGTACCAAACTGTTTTGATTACTGTAGCTTTGTATAATAGTAAGTTTTGAAGTCAGGAAGTGTGAGTCCTTCAGCTTTGTTGTTTTTCAAGATTGGTTTGGCTATTCTAAGTCTCTTGAGATTCCACTGAACTTTAGGATGGGTTTTTCTATTTCTGAAAAGCTTTCATTGGGATTTTGATAAAGATTGCATTGAGCCTGTAGATCACTTTGGGTAGTATTAAGATTTTAACATTATGAAGTCTTCCAATCCATGAACATGGGATATGTTTCCATTATTCCCGTCTTCTTTAATTTCTTTATTTTTATTTCTTAAAAGGATAAAAGACAACTCATAAATATGTAGCCTTTATATATACCAACAATAGTCAAGCTGAAAAAACAGTCAAGGACTCTATTCCGTTCATAGTAGTGCCAAACAAGAGGAAATATTTTGGAGTTTACCTAACAAAGGATGAGAAAGATCTCTATAAAGAGAACTACCAAGCTCATGGCTGGGAAGAGTCAACATTGTTAAAATGTCCATATTACCCAAAGCAATATGCAATTTTAATGCAATCCCTATTAAAACTCCACTGTCACACTTTATAGATCTCAAAAAGATAATACTTCATTTTATATGGAATCAGAAAAAACCTCAAATAGCCAAGACATTATGCAGAAATAAAAACAAATCATGCTACCAGACCTCAGATTATACTACAAATTGATAGTGATCAAAACTGCATGGTACTGGCACAAAAACAGAGCAGTAGATGTATGGAACAGAATAGAGAACCAACAGATGAACCCAGCTACTTACTGTTATTTGATCTTGGATAAGCCAATTAAAAACATTTAGTGGGGAAAAGATCCCCTATTTAACAAATGGTCCTGGGTGAACTGGCTGGTGACCTGTAGAAGACTGAAACTGGACCCACACATTTCACCATTAACTAAGAAAGACTCATTGGATTAAAGATTTAAACTTAAGACATGGAACTATAAAAATACTAGAAGAAAGTGCAGGGAAAACACTTGAAGAAGTTGTCCTGGGTGAATATTTTATGAGGAGGACCCCTGGGCAATTGAAGCAACACCAAAAATACATTACTGGGATCTGATCAAACTAAAAAGCTTCTGCACAGCCAAAAACACGGTAAATAAAGCAAGCAGACAGCCCTCAGAATGGGAGAAGATATTTGCAGATTATGTCTCTGACAAAGGTTTAATAACCAGAATCCACGGAGAACTCAAAATGTATTAGCAAGAAAAGAACAAGTGATCCCATCTCAGGGTGGACAAGGGAATTAAAGAGAAACTTCTCTGAAGAAGACAGGCTAACGGCCTGCAGACACATGAAAAAAATGCTCATCATCCTTAACCATCAGAGAAATGCAAATCAAAACCACTTTGAGATATCATCTAACCCCAGTAAGATTAGCCCACATCACAAAATCCCCAAACCAGAGTTGTTGGCATGGATGTGGAGAAAAAGGGAACACTTCCGCACTGCTGGTGGGAATGTAAACTAATACGTTCCTTTTGGAAAGAAATTTGGAGATCACTTAGGGATCTAAAAATAGACCGGCCATTTGATCCTGTAATTCCTCTACTAGGTCTATATCCAGAAGACCAAAAATCATTTTATAACAAATATATTTGTACCAGAATGTTTATTGTATCCCAATTCATAATTCTAAGTCATGGAAGAAGCCCAAGTGCCCATTGACCCATGAATGGATTAATAAATTGTGGTATATGTGCACCATGGAATATTATGCAGCTTAAAAAAAGATGGAGACTTACCTCTTTCATGTTTACATGGAGAGAGCTGGAACATATTCTTCTTAGCAGAGTCAAGAACGGAAGAAAAAGTATCCAATGTACTCAGCCCTACTATGAAACCAATGTGTAGCTTTCATATGAAAGCCATAACCCAACTATAGCCCAAGAAGAAGGGGAAATAGGAGGTGGGGGAGGATGGGTGGAGGGAGGGCAATTGTGGGACCACACCTATGGTGCATTTTACAAGGGTACATGTTAAATTTACTAAGTATAGAATATTAATGTCTTAACACAATAACTAAGAAAATGCGGTGAAGGCTATGCTAACCAGTTTGATGAAAATATTTCAAATGGTATATAAAACCAGCACTTTGTGCCCCATGATTACATTAATGTACATAGCTATGATTTAATAAAACAAACAACAACAAAAAAGGATAAAAAACAAAAACTCCAAATTATAAGTAGGAAAGAATTCCATCCATTTTTATTTATTTCAGCAGTGTTTTATGGTTTTCATCGTACAAATCTTTCACTTTTTTGTTAGGCTAATTCCTAATTTATTCTTTTTTGATGCCTTTGTAAATGGAATTATTTTTGTAATTTCCTTCTCAGATTACTCATTCATTGTTAGTACATAGAAACACAACAGATTTATCTGTGTTGATTTGGTATCCTGGTATCCTGCTGAGTTCGTTTATTAGTTCTAACAGTTTTGTGTGTGTGTGTGTGTGTTTTTAAGAGATTGTCAAGGCTGGGTATGGTGGCTCACGCCTGTAATCCTAGCACTCTGGGAGGCTGAGGCAGATGGATTGCCTGAGCTCACAAGTTTGAGAGAAGCCTGAGTTAGAGTGAGACTTTGTCTCTAAAAAAAGCTGGGCATTGTGGCGGGTGCTTATACTCAGAGCTACTTGGGAGGCTGAGGCAAGAGGATTGCTTGAGTTTGAGTTTGAGGTTGCTGTGAGCTGTGATACCATGGCACTCTACCGGGGGCAACAAATGAGACTCTGTCTCAAAAAAAAGAAAAAAAAAAGACAGAGTCTCACTCTGTCACCTAGGCTGGAGGTCTCAGCCTAGCTCACAGGTCACTCAGACTCCTGGACTCAAGTGATCTTCCTGCTTCACCCTACCAAGTAGCTGGGACCACAGGCATGTGCCACTATGCCTGGCTAATTTTTCTATCTTTAGTATAGTTCTTTCTTTGCTCAGGCTGGTCTCAAACTCCTGACCTCAAGTGATCCTCCTGCCTTTGCCTCCCAGAGTGGTAGGATTACAAGCATGAATCCCTGCACCCGGCCAGTGCTAAGATCTTTTTTTTTTTTGTATAGGACCTTTAGGTTTTCTGCATATAAGATCATGTCGTCTGCAAAGGAGAGCATATTACTTTTTCCTTTCCAATTTGGATGCCGTTTCTTTCTTTTTCTTACTTAAGTGCTCTGGCTGGAATGTCCAGTACTAGGAACAGAAGTGGCCTAATTGGGCACTGAAAATTTTAGTAAAAAATATCCTTCTTTGTCACTTACAGCCTTTTTTTGATTTACAGTCTATTTTCCCTGATAGTAGTGTAACTACTTTTGCTCTCTTTTGGTTACTATTTGCATGGAATATCTTCTCCCACTCTTTCACTTTGAATCTGTTTGTGTTAGGCTTAGGGTGAGTCTCCTGTAGACAGCGTATATTTGGATCATGTATTTGTATTCATGCTCCCAATCTCTGTGTTGTGATTGGACTATGTAATGCACTTACATTTAAAGTAATTACAGTCAGTCCTCTATATCTATGAATTCTATTTCCACAGATTCAACCCATCATGGATAGATAATATTAAAAAAGAAAGGATAGTTAACATCTGTACTGAAGGTGTACAGGCCTTTTGTTTCCTTGTCATTATTCCCTAAATAATACAGTGTGACAACTATTTATACATCATTTACATTGTATTAGGTATTATAAGTAATCTAGAGATAATTTAAATTATATGGGATTTTATGTACGGGTCATATGCAAATACTGTACCATTTTATATAAGGGACTTGAGCATCCATGGATTTTGGTATTCTCAGGAATCTTGAAACCAATCCCTTATGGATACCAAAAGGATTACTTTACTGATAAATAGAGGATTACTGCTTTCATTTTGCTATTTGTTTTTTTATGGCTTTTCTTTCCTTTTTTTTTTTTTTTTTTTTTGAGACAGAGTCTCAAGCTGTCACCCTGGATAGAGTGCCATGGTGTAATCATAGCTCAAAGCAACCTTTAACTCTTGGGCTCAAGTGATCCTCTTGCCTCATTTTTTTTTTTTTTTTACTTTTTGTATTTGTAGTAGAGACAGGGTCTCACTTTTGCTCAGGCTGGTCTCGAACCCGGGAGCTCAAGCAATCCACCCACCTCGGCCTCCCAGAGGGCTAGGATTACAAGCGTGAGTCACTACGCCCAGCCTTCATAGTTTTTCTATCGCTTTTTTTGGCCCCTTATGTCCTCCATTACTGTCTTCTTTTGTGTTGTTTGATTTCTGTAGTGAAATGTCTTTTTTTCTGATTTCTTTTGTGTAATTTTTATAATTATTTGTAGTCCGATTTGTCGTTATTATAGGGATTACATTTACTACCCTAAAGTTATAATACTATAATTTGAAATTAGATTACCGTAACTTCAGTTCCATGCAAAAACTCTGCTGCTTCATCCCTGCCCTTTTCAGTTGTTGTCACAAAATGACATTTTAACACATAGCATGCTACCAAAGATAAACTAATCATTTATTTAAATGCATTAGTCTCTTAGTTATACTGGCTTTCAGACTAATAATTGTTCTTATAAAAATGCATTCGTCTCTTAAATCATGTAGAAAGCAAAATGTAGAGTTATAAACCATTGTGATAAGAATATTAGCATTTATGATTGCCCATATATTTACCTTTATTGAGATCTCTATTTCTTCATATGACCTCAAGTTATATGAGGTGTCTGGTGTCGTGTCATTTCACTGTGTGGGAGTTCCCTAAACATTTCTTGTGGGACAGATCTAGCGGTAATGTAATGAATTCCCTCAGCTTTTGTTTTTATTTATCTGGGATTATCTTCATTTCTTCTTAGTTTTTTTTAAGATAGCTTCTCACTCTGTTGCCCAAACTCCTGGGCTCAAGCAATCTTCCTGCCACAGCTGGGACTAAGGCACATGCCACCATACCTAGCTAATGTTTTTATTTTCTGTAGAGACAGGATCTTGCTATGTCACTTAGACTGGTCTCAAACTCCTGGCCTCAGTTGGTCTTCCCACCTTGGCCCCCTAAAGTCCTGGAATTATAGACATAGCCATTATACCCAGCTGCTCCCTCACTTTTGAAGGCCACTTTTGCCAGATACAGGATTCTGGGTTGACAGGTTTTTTTTTCTTTTACCACTTTGAATTTATTGGCCCACTGCCTCCTGGCTTCCAAAGTTTCTGATGAGAAATCTGCTGATAATCTTATTGTGCATCTCTTATATGTGAGGAATCACTTTTCTCTCGATACTTTTAAGATTTTCTCTTTGTCCCTGAAGTTTGGAAGTTTGATTATAACATGTCTGGGTGTGGAGCTTGAGTTCATCTTACTTGGAGTATATTGAACCTCTTAGATGTTTATGTTCTTTTTAAAATTTTTTTGGGTGGAGTTTGGGAAGTTTTTAGCCATTTATTTCTTCAAATATTTTTTCCCATTTTCCTCTGTCTGGTCCCACAATGCTTATGTTGGTCCGCTTCACAGTGCCCCACTGATCCTTAAGCTCTGTTCACATTTTTCAGTATGTTTTCTTTCTGTTCCTCAAGCTTGATAATTTCCATTGTCCTATCATTAGTTCACTGATTCTTCTGACTGCTTAAATCTACCTTTGAATCCCTCTAGTGAATTTTTAATTTCAGTGGTTGTATTTTTTAGTTCCAGACTTTTTTGGGGGATTTCTTTTTTATCTTTTCTGTCTCTGTTGGTATTTCCACTGTGCTCATACGTCATTCTGTGGACTTTCTGCATATCTTCCTTTTGTTCTTTGAGCATATTTAAGACAATTGTATTAATGTGCTACGGTGTAAATCTGTTATCAGGTATTTTTCAGGGACAGTTTCTGTTGATGCATTTTCTTTTCCTTTGAATGGGTCCTATGTTCCTATTTCTTTTTATGCCTTGTGATTTTCTTTTTTACTGAAAACTGAACATTTGAATATAAAAATGCAGTCACTCTGGAAATTGTACTCTTATCCTTCCCTTGGGTTTGCTGTATTTTGTTATTGTTTTTATTTATGTTATTTTTTTTTTTAATTTTTATAGGCTGCCTCTGTGCCAAGAGTCAGCCTGAAGTGTAAGCTTAAGTTCTTTCAGTTCTTTTTTGAACCTGAGCTCTTCTCTGGGCATGCAAAGTCACTTTCTAATGTTCTCCACATCTCCATGCAGTTGTCTTTGAATATCCTACTCTTTAATGTCTGGCTCCCAAACAGGGAAAAGGAAAAAAAGAAAAAGAGGAGGAGAAGGGGGAAGGAAGAAAGGGTGCCAGCCCTTCAAATCTCCTGTAACTCACTTCAGTTGAAGAGGGCGGGGATTGCAACAATGGGGGTAGGGACAATGATGAAGGCTGTCCCTCTGCATCTCTGTGATCAGAAGCAGATATTTTCAAAAAAAAAAAATCAAATTTACTCCTAAGAGGCAGAGATAAAGATATTTGAATGAGTGTTCTACTGGCTTTGGAGGCAAATGTAAGGAGAAGTTCTAATCATTCTGGATAATAGGATCCTTCCTGAAAGGAACAGATAGATTCTCAAGGTAACTTACAGGGAGAGCAGTTACTTGGCTATCTGAATATGTGGTATGTTAGGATTAATTTATAGTCACTCATAGCTCTCCTCTTACAATATCGGGCCAACTTTGGGTCTCATGAGGCCTTTGTAATCCTTCTCTCTCTAGGTGGAGCCAAAGCGTGTGATGGGAGCACTGGGCCTGAGCAGCATCACGAGCCTCCCCTGATTTTCAGTCTAGAAGATGACACCGCAGAAGGTTTGCCTCTAGAGAGAGGTGGTGCCGAGTACCAGGCCGTGTTGCCCAAGGTCAGAAAGGTTCTTGCAGACATCCTTCAAGACATTGCCAATGACAACGTCTCCAGAGTGGACTACACTCAGGACCCTTCAGTAACTCCCTGCTGTAACCCCCTCCAAACTGCCTGCCGCTGCCACACGATGTAACAGACCAGCTTTTCCACAAGGAGGAATATCTGGAAATGAGAGGGGCAGGTTCACTCCTAGACTTCAGTTTTACCTTCTTTACAAACATGTGCTTTAAAAATAAGTCTTGAAATTTACTAGGAGCTTTGTAGCCTCCCCACCCCCCGCATACTGTCCCTCCCCCATCAGAGGACAGCTGAGCTGGCTCTAGGGCAGAGAGCTTGCTGTCACGGGGGGCACACAGGCTTTGGAGTCAGGGTCAGGTTCAGGCCCCAGCTTTTGAACTTGGGCAATCATTTAACCAAACTGCAAGTTGATTTTGAGGATTATGTGAGCCAATACATGAAAATGCCTGGCACGTTACCTGATACAGACCAGATACTCAATACATTCTAGTTTCCTTTCTGATGTACCCAGTTTCTCTGATCATTTTAGCGTAGACTCATTCCAACCAGTATGGAGAACTTCTCTGTCCTTAACATGCATGCAAATCACCTGTAAAACTCTGTAAACGTCTAACCCAGCAGGTCTGGAGCGGGGCCTGATACCCTGCGTTTCTTGTAAATGATGCCCCGAGTGGCCTGGATCTAGCCTAGGCAAAGTTACATCTGCTTTTGGGTCTCAGAGCAGAGGAGGCCATTGCTAAGTCCATGGCCCTGTCCCCTTCCCCTCATTTTAAGGGTCATATGACTGTATTTTAAAGACTTTGAGTTCTTCCTGCCCCTGGAAACCCCAAAGAAATAAAATAAAATTCTGAAAGCCTCAAAAAATGCATTGCCACGATTTTATTATTAGTGTCCTAAATGGGACTCAAGAATAATAAATGATTTGTTCCAATCACTGCAAAAAAAACATTTTGCCTTGCTAAAATAGTCTCTTTCTATAAGTATGTATTATACAAGAAATACAGTTCAGAGAGATTTTCCTATAAGTACATTTTTACACAGCATATATTTAAAAAGGATGCTCTTTTCAATATAAAATTCCGGTTATATACCAATATGGTTTGTTGGCATTTACACTATGATTTTAACATATCTTAAATAGCATAACGTGTATACAATGTCTCTTGTGCCCACAGGCACCAGGGCCGAGGGGAGCGTGGTGAGGGGTTGACCATGTCCCATGTCCTGGGGTTTAAGCAGCACAGCACCTGGGATTCCTGCCCCCTTTCTGCTTACACAATTGCACTCCATTCTTCCACCTTCCTGGTTTTCTCCAAAACCACCTGACAGGGGATGTCCTGATTTCTGAGGTGTGCTTCTCATCATGTCTGCTTCGTTTTGCCCTTCTGACTTCCACGGCACAAGATTATCTACCGAAATCAAAACAGAATGGCCTTACTCTTCCCGGGAAAAGGCTGGCAGGCAGGCTGCATTATCAACGGGTCTGTGCCCATGCAGGGTCAGCAGGGAGAGGCTGGGCAGTTTTTCTGTCTGACCTCACATTGACCCTCACTCATGGCCAAAGAAAATCCACCCAGCTTATTTAAAAATAGTGTAGATGAGTATGCCATAGTTTCAGAAAATAGCGACTATATAAAATGTGTGTGTGTATATATGTATACATTATACATGTGTCTTTTTAAAAGGCTCCCCTTACTTGTAAACACAGACTGCTAACTCACCATTGACAAGTCAGAACGATGCCCTTCCTCTCAGTTAAGACTGGCCTCACAAAACAGGCAGACTTGTGAAGGGTGGCTTGTTACTGAAACAAAAGCTGCTCGTCCTCCTGAAGGCTGCAGCTTTCTAAGGTACCAGAAATGATCTCTGCTCTGATCTGTCATTGTTCTTAGAGCGAAGTAAACCCCCAGGAGGTCAGACTGATCATGTGCAGGGAAATGTCAGTATATTTTTTTAAAGCATCCCGAGTGATGAGGACGGTATTCTTAAGGCAAAGGCCCAGGGAGCCCCTGATGGTCAGACTACCCAGGCAAGCCAGTGTTTGCAGCCACAAAAGTGATTTTATCCCAGCGGAGGTCCCAAGATCCTTTCGTGATCTCAGAAGCTTTTAAGGAATGGGAGTAAAGATGGGAATCATGGACACATATTTGTAATAAGCATGACAACGCAGGATAAAAGCAGAGCGAGGAGGTGTTCTAGCAACTAGCTGAACTTTTCTACCAAGAAGCCGGCCTACTAACTCAGTGGGAGCACTCGCCACCTACCCAGCGCCGGCCCTGCACACAGGACTGCCCAGAGCTCACGGGGGTCTCACAACCATTCTAAGGGCCTCGTTGAGAGACCAACACTCTCACTGGCTGGAAGCAGTTCTTACGTATAAATGAAAACTCCTGACACAATTTAAACCAGCTTTCACTGATTTGGTCCTGAACGGGGGGGACAGGACAACCAGCTTGCGTGCTCAGCTTCCTGGAATTATACAGGCCAGCAGGTCTGGGGGTAACATATTCAGCATTAACTCCTAAATTGCGCATCTCCACTTTTTGTTTTTTACACCCCAAGCAAATGGCCTACACAAGGTCCCTATTATTTTATACAGGTTTTTTCCAGCAAAGGACTAGCTCCTAAATGTCAATATTCAAATTACCCCAATTATGTAAATGTAAGAGGTTGCAAGGATGGCTCTGATTATAATCCATAATCTAATGCTCTTTTATAGCAGTCACGGACTTTTTACCAACCTTACAGAAATGGAACCTGGTGAGTGCCTGAGCTCTCCACACCTTGACAGGGTGGGACGGTCACATTTGCCCCTATTATGTGCAACTGAGAGTGCTCTGGTTCATGGAAGATGCAACTTCAGGTAAATGATCACTAACTTTTAGGGACAGTTTTTATGAAACTTTATGAAGCCAGAAAAACTCCCTTTATGGCTAACTGGGGCAATGAGAACTCAAAGGTTTATAGGCAGCAGTAGCCAACAGGTGTCTTTAAGGGTATCATTAGTACTTTTAAGAACCACTGCTCTTTACCACTAAAGTATCAACTTCACATGTTGGCGATGCTTTTGGCAACCTGCCAAATGAAAGCTAGGCACGTGCGTCTCAAGCTGTGCTCCGCAGAGCCAGCGTGGGAGGTCACAGTGCTGCCCCCGGCCATGCACGAGGGGCCGCACAGCAGCTTTGTTGTTTTAGGCCAAACGTGCTCGCTAGATTGGCCCCTGGATCTGTGAGGGAAAGAAGCCAGCCCTGCCCTGTGTCCTTTTATAAATGGAACCTCAGCTGACATGAAATAATGATCAGGAGAAAACATGCCAAGGCCTGGTGGGCGTGGCTTCCGAGCCCTAGTGGCCACGCCCCTCTGGCTGGAGGAGTTGACTGTCTTGGCCTGAACACTGCATCCATCTCTAAGTGAAGTCAGGTTGACTATGAGGGATTTTTTTTGTTGTTGAGACAGAGCCTCAAGCTGTCGCCCTGGGTAGAGTGCAGTGGTATCACAGCTCACAGCAACCTTCAACTCCTGGGCTTAAGTGTTTTTCTTGCCTCAGCCTCCCAAGTAGCTGGGACTATTTTTTGGTTGTAATTGTCATTGTTGTTTGGTGGGCCAGCTCTGGTGTGTGGCTGGCGCCTTAGCCGCTTGAGCTACAGGCACCAAGCCACAAGGGATGTTTTCTAACTGAGGCTCACAAGTGGAGATATACCTTGCTCCAAATGGAAGGTTGGAGAATCAGAAGTAGAGGTCCTATTTTCTCCAGATGCAGATGCTGAAAAAGCCTCATCTAGGCCTCAGCTAGCCTGGGGGGTGCCCCCTGCCACACCAGCCAGAGCAGGATGGTGGGAAACCCAGCTACAGGTACGGGTGAGCTCACGATCATGCCCTTTGTGTGTGTGGCTATTTCTTAATGAGCACCTCAGGGGAGGGTTGTGGGTCTGTCCATCCAGAGCCCAAGTTGGCAAGGGTTTCTCTCGCCTACAGAGCGCCACAGCCCAGCCCTGTCACCTCCAGCCCAAGGAAGGCAGCATTCTGCAAAAGCACCCACAAAAGTCTTCAGAAATAAGAAGATTTACACAGGCCTAAGTTCCTACCTGAGGAGCAGCAAAGTCAGAGCCACAGAAGCAAAGTAAAGGATTCCAGGCCTCTGAGTAAAGTGAGGCCACCAAGACCCCTGGATTAGTATTCGGTTACTCTAATACTGCCAGGGGTTAGCCGGACACTTAAAGGCTGGCCTGGACGGCTGCGTCACACGGTACGATCAACACCCTGTGGCTTTCTGGCTGTTAGAGGATTAGTTGTCATAGACTAGAATACAGGGCAATGACTTTTCCTCCCGTAGGAGGGAAGGTTTCCTCGTAAGCACACAGACTGAGCCACTCTCTTATGGGTCCCTGATGCTCACAGGGGGGAACTCATTCTCGTCATCAAGACACACTGGTCCCGTTGCAAACTCGTGTTCAGGAATAACCTCTCCTCTCAGAGCCCCGCCGTCCTCAGAATAACCTGGAAACCAAGAATGAGAGATGAGACGTGAGGTCTGTTCTGATGCCAGGGCCTGGGGGGCGGGACCTCAGAGGAGGGAGAGTCAAGGGGACTATGGAGCCCAGGTTGCCTTCCAACCGGGGAGACGGTGCTGAAGGGGAGTCGGACTCCGCCACGCAGCCTCAGCCTGGTCTCACCCACCCTTCCACCCCAGATGCCTGAAATTATCCACTTCTTTGGAATTCCTCAAGAGGCAAATGACCCTCTTGCTCTATGCCCGCCAGGCTTAAGGGCCCACGTTTAAAGGCGATTACTCTGGTCTCACCTGTGAGGAAATAAAAAAACCCAAGGAGAATGCTCCACCCCCAGATAACAGGAAGGGAGAAAGGCCGTTCCCCTGCCAGCCCTCACGTCCATTCACCTGGCACCGTGGAGGCCGAGGCGGCGCTTGGTCTAGCTACAGTTGCTGCGTAAGACTGAGGTAAGGGAGGTCTGAGGTCATTTTCTTTATTGTCTTCTGTTGTTCCTGAGCCAAGCAAGCTACTTGCAGCAATTAAGAGGGGGTAAGACAAAAGCAGGATAAATAATCACGTATCTAGAAGGCCTTCCAAAGGAAAAGCACCAGGAAGCTGAGGCTTGGCTACGTGGGTTTAAACTACAGACCTACTGGATCATACTGTAAGGTCAGTATGACCTTAAACTGCCAGGGGACAGTCATGCAGCTTCAAAATGTTCCTTTTTTTTTTTTTTTTTTGAGACAGAGTCTCACGTCACCTTGGGTAGAGTGCTGTGGCATCATAGCTCATAGCAACTGCAGACTCCTGGGCTCAAGCAATCCTCCTGCCTCAGCCTCCTGAATAGCTGGGACTATAGGCACCCACCATAACACCCAGATACTTTTTCTGTTTTTAGTTGAGATGTAGTGTTGTTCTTGCTCAGGCTGGTCTCAAACTTCTGAGCTGAAGGAATCCTTCCACCTCAGCCTCCCAGCATGCTAGCCCTACAGGCATGAGCCACCGCCCCAAACTGACCCTTTTTTCTTATATTTAATAAACAAAGACTGGTGGTCCTCTGTTCTTCCTGGGACACTCAGGCAAGGACACTAAAATGTGCTAACAAGAAAAGTGGCCATGGGCCAGGGGTGTGGTGCCCTGTCCACAGCAGGAAGAGAGGTCAGCCTGCACTTGGTCATGGAAGTCACTAGAACTTTTTAACTCAATGTAGGGGCATTTTGGGTACCCATTGTGTACCAGGGGCTGTATTAGGTGGACATTCCTTT